GCATGGTGGATCTGAGAATTCAGAGGAAACCAGGGAGGTCATTTAGGTCATTTAATCTGCTGTGCCCGGAGGAGAATCCCGCAACAAGGAGGAGGCTGTGCAGAATGCCTGGGTTTGATTTCCAAGCCGAGTGGCAGTTTTTTCCTTGAATTTTCCAAGTGATGGGACAGTATGAGACCTAACTGGGTCCCTATGTGATGCTTCAGAGACAGGCAGTCACACCAGAGAAGTGCATCTTATTAGTAGAGCTGTGTGCGTGTCCCCGGTCACCTGGGGGCCAGTAGGGGCCAGTTGTGCAGGGGCCTCTGGCCCACATGGAGGTAGAACAGGCCTGGCTGCCCCTGGACATTCCTAGAGCTCCTCATGCCAAGATGTGTGTCCAGAGGCCTTTGCCAAGGTTATCAACATCGGGAAGTTCATCCTCACCATCAGCACTGTCACCATCCTAACAGCAAACATTTATTGGGTGCTTCTTGTGAACGAGGCCCCCTGCTCTGCATTTACAAACATAGACTCATTCCCTTTCTCAGCAGTTCTAGGAGGTAGGTATTTTTACTATCCCCACTTTATGCATGAACCAACTGAGGCTTAGAGATGTTAAATGACTTGCCCAAGGTCATGCAGCATATAGTAACAGAAGCCAGACAGGCCTGTCCTCACTGAAGGCTAAGTGTCCGCCACCCAGTCTACTGCCTTAACAGTCCCTTTGAGGTGTGGCAGAACTCGGCAGTGCTTACAGGGTCTAGGGCTCATCCGCATCCATATCTCTCCTGACTCTCATGTAATATTGATAGGCAGGCATTGTCCCATTTTCCAGCCCAGTAGAATGAGTCCCAGAGAGGGTAAGGGGGTTGCTGTGGACATATGGTCTTCTGACCCATCCCCTCCTCTCATTAGCTTGGCCCTGGGCAGAGGGAGGCAGGGCCTAGGCAGCTGGAGGAGGCCCAGTGGTGCAGGGATGGAAGGTTGCCCAAAAGGGGGCAGCAGCTCTCTAAAAGAGAAGGACACAGAGGCACACTGTGTTCGCTGCAGATTGTCCAGGGTCTGGTGCTGCCATCAGACCCCTTCCTGGTGGCATTCTCCGGGGAGCGCGGGGTGGGAGCAGCAGGCTCAGGCCATGTGGACAGGAGCCCTGCTGTGAATTCAGTGCCTGCATCCCAGCCAGGCCCCGCTTCCCAGAAGTAGAGCAGCCATGCTGAGCCTTCAGGCAGTGATAGCAATGGTGGCAGTTACGTGACCCCTATTAAACTCCATGAGGCCAAGGACTGTTTTGGAAGTCACCTCCAGGCTGGCTCCAGCCCACCCTCCCTTGTAAATTCTGCAAACATTCAGGAGATGAAAGAGGGCCTCTCAGAGGCAGAACACGAAGCTCTTCAAAGAGCACTTTCAGTCAGAAATGGGGAGAGGAGAAAGGTCTTTCTCTCCGAGGGAATGTATTTCTATACCCCTGTGCATGTACACACACACACACACATGACCGGGGATGTGGTGATGCACGTAGAACTCTCTGCCAGTTAGTTCCCTTTTGCCAGTCCTCCTTCCCTGGCTCTGAGGACCCTGACCTTTCCTGGTTTCCTAGCCCCCGGGGGTTACAGTTCTACACCTGCTTTCTCCAGATGGTGTGGCACGTCCCTGACCTTTCTGGATTTTCTTCCCTAAGATGAAATGTCCCTGCCTTGGGTCCCTGTCAGCTGCAGCTCTTTGCTGACTACTCTGATAAACAGTTTCCTAACTCAGAGCTCATTTTCCTCCATCGTTCTGTGGCGTTCCATTCCACTGACTGCCATCATCTTCTTGAGCAAAATAGGGGCCATTTAAACAAGCTTTACCTCCTCTGGACAGGCAAAGTGAAAGCATGGGGTTTTAGGGCTGGAAAAGAGCTTAGAAGGCATCTGGTTGAACCCTTTCCTTTTACGGAGGAGAAAACGAAGGCCGAGATTGTGGAACAATTTGCCCACGGTCACAGTGAGTTGGTGGCCCAGCTGCGAGGAGAGCCGCGTCTTCTGATGTCCACTGGAGAGCACAGGCCTCCCCCAGCAGTGGCTGGAGATGCAGCAGGACAGATGAGCTGTCCCCGTGTCCACGCTCCCCTCGGCCTCCCACGCTGGCAACAATGAGCATTTTCCGGCTCCCGGCCCCCTCAGATTGTTAGTTTGGTCTCTTGGCATATTATCTCCTCATCTAAGACTGCTTTATAGCATAATGTCTTTTTAACTAGGGTAAAATAAGATGAATGCCGGCTTTTGGAATAACCTGATCCCACAAGGTTGTTATATGTACCCCAGGGTGCATTGAAGCCAAGGTAGATAATTACTGTTCTATATTGACGATTAAACATAAACAACCGCCAGGAAGCCCCCTGGTTTCTTTCAGCTTGTCCCTGCCCTTTTCCATGTCACTCCTTTCTCCTTGTCTCCCTGCCCCCAGCTTATTCTAGACCGAGGATGAAGAACAGCAACAGGCAGGTGGCAGTGAGCCAGCAGCGCCCGCATGAGGCAGTCCTCCTGGGTGCAGTTGGGGCAAGTGTTTATTTGTGAACAGACAGAAATGTCTGTGCTGGGGACAGTCATCCCCCCTGCGTGCTGCTGACATTCTGCACATACCCATGAAAGGGCCCTCTGGGGTGCTGTCCATTTGCAACCTTCTCTCCACAGGGAACTGTCTTACCATAATGTCATTGTTGACCAACTTTTTATAAACTTGTGAAATGAGTTCCAAATTCCAAAGTTTGTCCTTTTTGGAGGAAAGCTACACGTGAGGAAAAGAAACTTGGGGGTAGAGTTGTTGACCTTGGTTAATTGGTTTGGGGACATGTTTCTTAAATCATCAGAAGCAGCAGGATGCTGTGTATCTTTCCCATTTTTTCAGCTGTAGTTTTCCTCATCTTTTTTTCAGTTTCGTCATTTCAATCCACTCAACTCTTGACCCCTCCTTCCACCGTTCGTACAGGGCTTGCCTGCCGTTTTGCTGTCAGGCTCACACATGGGCCTGGCGTGGCACCCGTGGAGCCTTTGTGGTGGATTTCTGTTGCTTTACTCCCGTGCTCGTGAGCTGAACTCAAATCACTGCGGGGCTGAGGTTCCGCACGGCCCAGACAACCCTCCAAAGCGTCCCCAAATGAAGGCCTGAACAATCTTCTAATCAGACTTCCCTCTCTCACTCAAGGATTGATGACTTGATAGCAGTGATCAACACGGTCTTGGAGAAGTACAGAATGAGCACGATGACTCATTCACATTTTTCATTTTTTATTAAAAAATCTCTTACAGCTGCCCTCTAGTTTCTTTTCACCCCAGCTTCTCTTTATAAGCCCTGAGTTTATTAACCTATACTGGATCCGGTGGCTGCTTTACCAGCTGTAACATGAATCAGGAGCAGAGGCGTGGGGTTGAGATGCAGAAGCGGCTGACCTTTGCAATGGACTTGTCCTTCCTGTACACAAATCATGAATTCCCTTGTGTGTAAAATGAGGGCCAAGTATCTGTCTCCCTACTTTCTTTGCAGTAATTTAGGGAGAATGCATTAGGCAATCATTCCCAACGGACCAGCCTGTTGGTAGATTGTTGGACCCTCACACTTCCTCATTTCTTCATCTCCATCTTCTAATCTATCAGCATTAAAAGGAGTTAAAGAAGCTGTAATATAAACCACTGGAGGCCAGTTTGAGATACGTGTCTTGGTTATAACACATGGTTTTCTTAAATATTAGTATAAGCAGAGTCACCCGGAAAACTTATTACAAATACAGATTCCTGGACCCTATCAGTCTGCTCCAGGGATTCTGGGATGGGACTCGAGAGTTCACATTTTAATAGGCCCTGCAGGCGATTCTGACGCAGGTGCTCATGGACGACATTCTGAGAATCAGACAGTTTCTGGAGAGTCTCCTAGCGCCCTCTTAAGGCCACATCCTTGGTTTACAGATGAGATTAAGGAAGCCTAGAGAAGTGAAGCAACTAGCCTAAGTTAGTTAGTTAGTTAGTTAGTTAGTTAGTTAGTTAGTTAGTTAGTTAGTTAGTTAGTTAGTTAGTTAGTTTTAGAGCAAGCAGAACATGGACCAAAACTGAATGCCAGCTCAGGGCTTTCCCATTGCTCCCTGTGCAGGGGAGCAGACCGATAGGAAGTGAGTTCACTTTGCAACAGGATGGGTTTAAATAGATACAGGGAAGAACTTGCTGGCAGGAGTTTTGAGGAAGCCTATAGTGTCTACTGTCTCAGAGGGCCTTAATTCAGGTCAGACTCACCAGATGTGGACACTTGAGATGCAGTGTGGATGCAAACAGAAAGGAAGGAAATGTCTTTAGAACAAATCCTGGTGGTTTTGCATGGAAAGGACCAGAGACCTTCTTTCAGTTCTGCTGTGGCAACTGAATTTTAACCTCGACAGTAGCATAAGTGGCCAGTGGTCCAGGAGGACTGAGTTCCAGTCTTAGCCCTGAGAAGGACAAGCTTTGTGACGCCAGGCCACTTAGTCAGTCTCTTGGTCTCCATTTGCTCACCATGAAATGCACAGGGTTGCACTGGACTCTTCCTAATGTCTGTGCTTCCATCGATTTTACCTTGTAGAGTAACTCCCCCCACCAAAGTATCTTACACAACATAGGGGACTCGGTGAAGTTTCATTGGCTGAACAAATAAACAAGACAAATTAAAAAGTCAACATTGAGAATCCAAGAATCCAATCTGCCAGTTTTCCCTCCCCTGGGGCATTTTGAGTCTATCTCTGAATGGCCTGTAGTGATCCCTCCTGCATTTTATAACTTTTTATTTACTGAGAGGGGTCTAACCTCAAATGAACATGAGTTGTCATTTCTCAATATCCATGTCCTTTCGTGAATAATCATTCAGTCCCAGGACATGGTGTGGCTACATTGGGTCACTCCCTGAGCAGAGGAGCCAGACCGGCATCACATCTCACCCTAGTGACGGACTCTGGGTGCAAGTCTCTGTGCCCACATCTCACGTGGCCCCTCCACTGACGGGCTCTCTCTTCCTTTCAGAAGGCAGATCTGGCAGTGGCAGGCCTCACCATCACTGCCGAACGCGAGAAGGTGATTGATTTCTCCAAGCCATTCATGACTCTGGGAATTAGCATTCTTTATCGAGTTCATATGGTAAGAGACTTATTTTATAAGCATTTATGTCATTAAAGTTATTTGCATGCAAACACTTGAGTTACATGGTAATAATGAATGACTCATGGAAATATTTAGATTTCCAAACTTAAATGCAAATGAGCTGGGCTATTTTTTCCCCCATCAACTGCACAGACTTGCAAACATGAAGAATGGGAAAGTCACCATTGTGGGCTTTCCACTAAAAATTGCTTCTGCCCCACTGACTGAGGGTAGGCAAGAATGATCGTCCAACTCTTGGCACATAGTATGTCAGCAAGTGACCCTGTTGCTCACTCTGCTTCCTCCTCGAGGCCAGGGCGCCCAGCCGAGATAGGCCACCCCAACATTCTCAAAGACTCCACTGACCCCCAGATCCACCCATGTTCACTCTGAGCATCGCAGCTGGTGAGGGAATGTAACTCCCTCTCTTGGTTGTCTGTGCTGGTGAATAAAGAGCTGGTAATTAATGCCAGTTGCACCCAGTCTGTTCCCTCTCCTGCGTCCTTTACAAAGAAGACTTCTCTGGTTAGGTTGGCCCAAGTGAGTAGAGTGAGTGTCCAAGTGAGTTTGTGAGAGCACCCCAATGGGCAGCAGAAGATGGGCATGACATGGAAGTATGCTGGCTGGTACGGGAGCATGGGCACAGGAGCCCTGGCTGGGCTTTTTCCACAAAGTGGATAATCATTACGTGCCTGGTCTACCTTACTGGACCAGAAGAGCCTTCCTCTCACCCTTTCATCTAAACTGGCTGTCAGTGTACAGCTACTGTAGGATGGCCCCAGCACTCCAGTCACTTCGGGTGTCCAAGGTCACAGTGACATGGTGCAACCCCATGCATCACCTGGTATCACAAGGCTGCTCAGCAGGGAAGGAACCAAGAGCTTTCCCCACATGCCTGCTGACAAACTGACCCCTTTCTCGGTGCCCCATCCCAGCCTTAGGGAGAGGGGGTTGTGTGTAGCAGTCATAACCCCATCCTGGCAACTGCCAGTGCATCGGGAACTGCAGCCCATACCTCTCGGGGGAAAGTCCCCCAGTTACAGAGCCCCTCAAGGTGCTCAGGAGAGTACTTGTCCTGTTCTGGGCCTCAGGGTTCCTCATGATGGCTGCCCAGCTTGGGAAAGGGGGCCAGACATCTGGAAGAAGAGGCCGCACCCAAATCCCAAGCTCCCCAGCTACCACAGAAGGAAATGTGAAGATTGGTCAGTTGATGCTGTTATTGATGTATCTGTCTGGTGGATTGGCCCCTCCTCCCCTTTTCTGTGATGATGAGGGGTCCTGGTCATTGAGCAACTCCCAGGTGGCACACCCTCTTTCAGACACCTGCTCTGCGGGCTGTTGGTATGAGTTGAATTGTTTCCCCTCAACATGTATGTGGAAGTCCTAACTCTCAGGACCTGTGAACATGGCCTTATTTGGAAATGGGTCTTTGAAGATGTAATGAAATTCGGATGAGGTCATACTGGATTGGAGTAGGCTCTGATCCAATGACCAGTGCCGTTTATAAGAGGAGAGGACCCTGTGCATTTGGAGACAGGCTGGAATGGTGCAGCCACCAGAAGTTGGAGGAGATGGGGGGAGACCCTCCCCTAATGCTTCCAGGCAGAGCGTGGTCCTGCAGACACTGGGATTTTGAACCTCTAGCCTCCAAAACTCTGAGACAATACATTTCTGTTTCAGCCACCCTGTTTGTGATACTCTGTTACAGAAGCCCAAGGATACAAACGTGGTTGTGTTGCATTCTTAGTGTAGAAAAGCAGAAACAGGTGCAGTTCATTTTGAAAATGTGGACAAGGTCACACACCAGTAGGAGAAGGAGCCGAGTTCGAAGCCTGGAAGGTGCAGTTTGAGCCCGTGTGCACTGACACCGGGCTGCCCACCTCATCTCTGTGACCTCTGAAGAGCTCGGCCTGGAAGGCAGTCCTGTGTGCCTTTTCTCAGTTGGTCCTGAGAACTGTTCTTTGAAGAAAGAAGGAAGGTGTTATAATTCCATCTTAACAGATAAGGAAACCAGAGTCACACTTGGAACAAATAACGGCTGGGCCTGGAATCCAGGAATCCTAACTCTTGGGACGGTGCTCTTATCATCATTACATCTGTCAGGACTCCCTGGGCAGTTTTCCAGCCAACACCGTTCCGTGAGTCCACCCTACCCCCTCTCTCAACCGAGCCCTGAGGGAGCATCTAAAGAAATGAGACACACAGCCGTTCTCCAAACTGCTGCTGTGACCAGGCCATGCAATAGGGCCTTGATTTCTTGATTAACATCGAGGGAGGTAGAGCCCTGCGCACGACTTCATGGACCAGGGGGAACCATGTGGGTGAAAGCATCTGATTCCAAGTGTTTCCACCATCCGGGAACATCTCCTGCTAAGCCACCCTCACCACCAGGGACATCCTGTTCTGAATATCAACTCTGCCCAGAATCAAACTCCAATTCACCAATCCTCTGGACATCCTTAACTGGATTGTTGTAAAAATGTTTCCTACCACCCACAGCCTATGAGCGTATTAGTTCTCCTGCATCAGTTCCTGAGATGGGAAGTTTCATGTGTCAGCTTGGCTAGGTGGTGGTACCCAGATGTTTGGTTAACCACAAACCTAGATGTTGCTGTGAAGGTGTTTTGTAGATGTGATTAACATCTACAGTCAGTTAACTTTAAGTAAAGGAGATCACCCTTGCTAATGTGGGTAGGCCTCTTCCAACCAGTTGAAGGCCTTAAAGGCAAAAACAGGTTGCTCCAAGCAGAAGGAATTCTGCCTCAAGCCTATCACACAGAAATCCTGCTCGAGTTTGCAGCCTTGCCTGCAGATTTTAGACTTACCAGCTCCCACAGTCACATTAGCCAATTCCTTAAAATAAATCTCTCTACAAACACGCAGACGCACTCATATATATCTGCTTGGTTCTGTCTCTCTGAAAAAACCCTAACTGATACAGTTCCCCTGTCTGTCCAGGATTCCTCCCCTCTTCTGGCCTCCACACTAAAACACTAGGGTGCCACATGGCTGCTCGGATCCGATTTATGACAGGGGGCTGAGCTGAGTGAAAGTTGAGTGCTGGCATAAACAGCCGACACTAAACAGAACTGACAGTTTATGCATTTATTCAACAAATATTTATTGAGTGTGTTCCGTGTATGAGGCGGTCTACTCGGAGGGTACCGAAAAGTCAGCTGGGAAGAGAACAATCCTGAATCAACTACACCAGGGAGACCTGGTGGGAAAAAATCTGAATGAACTTTGCTGTCTCTAAGACAAAGGAGGCATTAGCAGGAACAGCTAGTACCAAAGGATAGCCTGGCAGAGTTTACCCCAAAAGCCTACATCTAAAGATACATAGAGAAGCTATGTCTAATATAGTGGTGTTAATGAAATTGAAGTTGTATACAGGAAGTTTATTATTGTGTGAAATTCCTCTAATTGATAGTTATCTGTGAGGAAAAATATGGTTCATTTAACTTCATGTGTAATCTATAGTGACCTAGAATCTCTGTCTTAGGTTCTGTGTCTGAGGTCACCTGAGTCACGAGTGATCGTTAGCAAAAAGTGAGCATCTGGTGATAATCAAACATGTGTGTGAAAGTAAAAATAATTAACCCAAAGCATACCTAGTTAGAAATTACTGCAGAAGCCTTCCAAATAATAAGTGGTGGCAGGATGTCTCGGCATCTACATGTCTCTGAAGTCTAAAGATATCCAGAAATAAGTTGTGAATTTCCAGCATTCTGAAATCATCTAGGCTTTTTCATGAATGTGGACCGTCTAGAGTTGATTATGGGATATTTTCCTTCTTCCCAAACTTGGAGCACAGTATCTATTTCTACTCAAGCATCCCTAGGACCAAATTCAGAAAAACTGTTTTTCTCTTTTGAGTGGGACCCTTGGCTAAGGATTCTGGCGTTGGCATTTGTTATGTTACATGTTACAGTTGATCCCTCCTGATTTTTAGAACACTCTCCATTCCTAGCATCCCAATCACCATTTTCTCCTGCTTTTCCTCCCACTGCTCTGATGATTGCCTTCTCTGTCGTTTCTGATGAGTCCTCTCTCTTCGTCTACCCCTAAACGTCCATGGCCCTTTTCTATTCTCACTCTGTCCACTCGCCGACTGGGTAGTCTCCCTTGCCCCCAAATCTGGAAATCTATCCCTGGCTGCAACACTGAATTCCAGAAGCATATACCTAACATATTCTTAGACATCTCCACCTGGACATGTCACAGGCATCACAAAAACAGTGTCACAAACTGCACTCAGTATGTTTCCCCATCCTCTCCTCTGCCCCATCTTACATAAGGGCATCTACACCCAGCTAACCAAGCTGCCCTTCTCATCTCTTACCCCACGCGTTCAGTTGGTCAGTTCACCTCCTAAATAGTTCTTGAAAGCACTGTCTACCCCAACTTAATCCGCCTAGTTTAGGCTCTGCTTATCTCTAGCCTGAACTACTGCTCTTCCGTGGCCTGTGTCCCCTTGAGGGCAGCAGGGTGCTTCTCGTCCGTCACCGTATCCCCATCAAAGGGCCACAGTCACTAAGCATTAAGCATTCACTAAGAAGCAGTAAGGTGAAAAGTCACAGACTCAGGAGCTAGGCTGCCTGGCTTTATTTTCGGATTTGACACTCACTAGCTACATGTCACGTGTGTCTCAGTTTCTTCATCTGTAAAAATGGCTTGTCATGCAAATTTAATAAAGATACATATGTAATGTACTTGCACCCATGCCTGAAACATGAGCAATAAAGTGTTAGCTATTATATTTAATAAATGTATGCGAATTGCTTCCCACTGCAGTCCATTCTCAATCCGTACTGCAGCTTGAGAGTTATTTATTTTACAAGTGTAATCATATCAGCTTCCTACTTAAAGTCCTTCACTGGTTGCCCATCACTCACAAGAAAAAGTCCAATCTTCTTAGCGTGGATAATAAAGCCCATCTTTCCTGTTCCACTTGCACCTCTTTGCTGCAGGCACCGTCCCCCCAGTGTGCTTACTGC